CAACAAATTAGACTCATGTGGTCAGAAAAAGAGAGATATACAGTAAAGACAGATTCATATGAAAAAAAACCTCTAAATGGTGTATAGTGTGTTTAAAAATATAGGTAGGCTTGGGAGAGAAAAGAAAAAGGATAGAGAAAATCCTTTAAAAAAAAAGAGCACTTGGATGTGGTGGCGCACGCCTTTAATCCTAGTACTTGGAAAGCAGAGGCAGGCAGATATCTGTGAGTTCGAGGCCAGCCTGGTCTTCAGAGTGAGTTCCAGGACAACCAAAGATACACAGAGAAACCCTGTCTCCAAAATCCAAAAATTAAAAAATAAAAAAGAAATAGTTTTTTTAAAGGCTATGTAAAGATGGAAAATACATAGAGAATCTGGAGACAGTGTGTTACTGTGTTGTTTTTGAATTGTTTGACTGCTGAGGAAAGAACGACAAAAGACATTTGATTTATGAATGCTGCTGGATTAATCCAACCTATATATATTTGAAAATGCCTTGACTTCAAAATTAATTCAAAAGATATGTTATTTTGGAGAAGAGGTTTTGCTTTTGTTTCCACATATCTCTGATTCTTTCACATACCAGTGATATCATGGTAGAAGTGCTGTGTGTAAAAACCTATAGGCATGTGTGGTGTGGGATGTCCTTCTGTACATGTGTTGCTTTTATTGGTTGATGAATAAAGCTCTTTTGGCCAATGGCTTAGCAGAATGAAGCCAGGCCGGAAATCTGAACAGAGTGTGTGTGTGTGTGTGTGTGGGGGGGCTGAGTCAGGCAGACTCCATGTAGCTACTGAAGGAGAAAGAAGCCAGTCGGCCACTGAGGAAATAAGACGTGTAGAAAATGAGGTAATACCACAACCTCGTGGCGATACAGAAATAGAAATTGGTTAATTTAAGATGTAAGAACTTACTAGGAATACGCCTGAACCATTGGCCAAAGAGTGTTGTAATTAATATAGTTTCTGTGTGATTATTTGGGTCTGGGTGGCTGGAAATGAAAGCAGTCTCCATCTACACGTGTGGGGCCCAATGCGATGCAGACTGGCTGCTTTAGAAAAGGTTTTGAGGTGTCCAGTAGTTAGGGGTATGCTGGGATAATCCCTTCCAAGCTAAGGAGATGCCACAAAAAGAAAACACTGTGCCAGGCAGCCATCTTGGAGGACTGGAGACAACATGTTAATTCTGGGTGGCAAGAAAGGCTGTAGTTACAAAGGGGCCCCACAAGAGGCAAGAACTCAGCTGAAGTTTCAGGCCGTGGGACAAGTAGCCCTGCCATTTGGGTCATATGATTTGCCAGACTAGATGAATTTGTGGCAAACCTTAGGCGAAACTTGTCATATAGGACTTGGAGCCCCTGCGTTTAGGCCACCCCAGCCACAGGGGGCTGTGTTCTAGTGAAGTGCAGGCTTCTGCCAGATTCTCGGCACCATGAATTGAGTCAGGCTTGGCAGTCCATCAGAACAGAGGAAGGGTCCACTGGGGAATGAGCCTGGCCGGGGTCAGCAGGAACTAGCAGCTGAATGAGGTGACCAGAGCCTGTCCTCTTGCCTGTACAGACGGCCATTTGGAGTCATCCTGTGACCAGCTGAGAGAAGGAGGAGCCCGAGGTTGGGTTATGGATAGGATGGCTTGCTTATTGGGACCAAGTGGAAAGACGGATAGTGGCCCCCTGACTGTGATGTAAAAGGCAGGGAGGGCTGGTGCTATGGTTCAGCATGTAAAGGTGTCTGCCTTAATAAGACTGAGCTAATAGGCCAAACAGTTTATAAGTAATGTAAGCCTCTGTGTGTTTCTTTGGGACAGAAACTTGGGTCTACATCTTCTGGAATGGGTCCCCATATCTCTGATTCTTTTACATATCAATGATACCATGGTAATGACCTGAATTACATTCCCAGAAACTACATGGTGGAAGGTGAGACCCAACTCCTATAGGTTTTTCCTCTGACCTCAAAACACACACTGCCTCATGCAAACCTTCCTATCCCCCAAGTAAATAAATAAATGTGAACAAAAATTTAAGGGAAAAACCTTACCTGTAGGCAGAGCTGTGAGCAGTGCTTGGCTGTCTGTTTTGTGCATAAGAAACAGCGGTTCAAAGCAGTGCACTTATATCTATACGCATTCTTGGGAAGGGGCCGAAAGCTTGGACATTTGGTCAGATGCTTGAGTGAAGGGTTGGGAAGGAGAGGTAAGCTGGGGTGGGGCAGAAGTATGTGGCTGGACATCTACGGCGGGAGCAGGCATGGCGTGTGATGTTTGTACCACTTGTTGATGGCCACGGCAAGCACCCAGCACAGAACGGGCATGGAATGAGCAAGTGGGGATGGTTTGTACAGCTCTCATGTGCCAGCCCTTGTCGCTGTCTGCACAAGACTCCTACACACCAGTGAAAACAGATGTGTCCTCCCTGAATGTCCAATATGGGAGCAAGTTAGGCACCCCTGTGGGCCAGGTCAAGTGCCAAGGTTGGTTTCATTGGGCATGCAGCAGTCCCTTTTCTTGTCTACTAGTCTTTAGACACGAGCAGTTCGGAGGATGATGCAACTGTAACTGACTCAGTGGTGCCCAGTAAAGATTCCTATAATGTCTCCGGATCTATGGCTACACCGGTGGAATCTGTGTTTCTGGACTGGGCATTTGGTAGGCTGACCAACTAGGATTCTGCAATCAGGGAAAGCAACAAGCAACCTATGCTCAGAAGAGGCCAATATCCCTGGAAGATAAACCAAAGGTCATATCTGCATTATGACTTTTTGGCTCTTTCTGCTTGTCCTCTCATTGGTGCCTGCTCCTCCAAGCACGGAGATAGCATGCCTGTTACTTCTGGGGTGCTCCTTGAACCAACAGTGAGGTGTCACCTTGAAGAGAGTTAGAAATGGCAGTTTAAGCCCCACCCCCCCACCTATTTAGTCAGAATCTTTATTTTATTTGCTTTGGTGCCGGGGATGGGAACTGGGGTGAGGTGCATGCTAAGCACATGCTCTGCTACCAAGCTGCACCCCTGATCTCCGGAATCTTCATTTTAATAAGATGATTCGTGTATTTTCTTCTCAGTTGTTCTTTTAAACTTCAGTTTGGAATGTAAATCCTTGCCAAGGTAAAGTCTGCATTTGGAATCAAAGTGACAGCTAGAACCCAGGGCCTCATGCACTCTACTAGTGAGCAAACCCTTTGGCCTCCTGAGTCCTCTGTGTCATAGGTCCCACACTGAATTAAAGCATCGCTCTGCAGGCTGCTGACTCTACTACAGGATCAGTGTGAGCAGGGCTTGGTGCAAGTACAGGGCTGCTAGAACTCCTGGGATGATCTGGGAGATGGGAGGGTCTTGTCTAAAATGATCCCCTTTCAACCACAGCTGCATTCATGCTAGAACTCCTGGGATGATCTGGGAGATGGAAGGGTCTTGTCTAAAATGATCCCCTTTCAACCACAGCTGCATTCATGCTAGAGACGATGCAGGGCAGAGCCCCAGCAGCTTCAGGATTGGGGCTCCTCCCCAGAAAGGAGTGACAGGAAGAGGGGAGGGGAGTCTGGAGTTAAACTCTTAAACAATCAGATTAGTGGAGGTCAGGGTTGACCGACCACCAGGCTGCTGAGCCATGGCTCTCCTATCTTATGCCCTATGTGGATTCCATTTAATGGCTTGAGTTTATGTGTCTTGTAATACCCTGGCAAATGTGTCTCCTTCAGTGCTGTGATTTGCTCTAGCACATCCTTGCGTCTAAGGAGAGGGCTTGGTAACATCCAGATGTACAGCTGGATGGTCTTGTGGACTGAGCCTCACACCCCTGCAGTCTGTGCTCTCTCTTGGGGATTTATATCAAAACTGAATTGTTGGAGCCACTTGGTGTAGGACTGAGTGGAAATATGGCATGCATTTGGCATATCAGAACTAATATCTAAAAAAAAAGCACTAATCCACGGATGTACTACGTGTGTAAAATATACCCTGGCTTTTGAAGACTTATTGTGAACAAAATATGAAACATTTCACGATAAGTTTCTTTTGTATTGATGACTCTCTGAAATAGCATTTTGGATAATAGGTTATAGAGAGAATGTCATTAACAACAGGGCAAGGTGTGATGGCACACCCCCATAATCACACTGGGCATTGCCTGCTTATCAAGCCAGGCTCTTTGACAAAGTTTTCATCCTATGATGATATTATTCAGTAACTTTTAAACCATGGCAAAATAACTAAAATGTCAGTTTCCACAGAGGGAGCCAGGGTTAGGGGCAGAAGCTCTGGTTCTGGAGTGGAGGCGGTAGAGAGGGACTTGAGAGGATCTAGGACTTGGCCACAATGACTATGCTAGCAAGCCCCAATGATGGCATCTTCCAGAGTCACAGCTAGGGACTTGCTACAGCCTTGCTTGTCTGTCCTTCCCCTTTAGCTTTGACTGCAGCTATGGAGGGTGTCTCAATATTACTCTGGGCATCGAACTTGCTCAGCGCCTGGTTCTAGTTTCCCTCCTGAATTCCAGTGTCACAGTAGGGCATTATGGCAGGGAGACCCCTTGGCTGGGTCACATGTACCTGGAGGCTCAAGGAGGGACCAACACTGCTTTGTCCAGGCTTCTGATGCTCCTGGACCACTCTGACCTGCTGAGGGCTAAGATAAGGACTGGCACTCTTTTCAGCACTGTAAGGCAAACTCCAGAGACTTAACCAGAGTGCCATTCAAAACTGAAACCAATAACTCAACCCAGAAAAGTCTGTGATGCACCAGAACTTCAATTTCTTCTGCCTGCAATCTTTATGATCTGCCATCCACCACAGGTAGTAAATTCTGGCCCGAGAGAAGCAGGAGCATAGCCACTAGCACAGCTTACTGGGGAAGCAGAGAGGACGACCTTCTGTGTCAGGACCCAGAAGCTCATGGCTGCAGTCCAGCATCTCTGATGCTTCCAAGGCCCAAATGGGATGTTGCTCCTGAGTAGTGGGCAATGTAGAACGAGCCTGACTTCACAGTACACAAGAGCCAGTTTTTCTTAAGAAATAAATTTAATTCCGGGTGGTTAGTGAACTTCGGGCCTGTAATGCCTTCATGAAAGTTAAGAGAATCCAGTTACAAAAGCAGTAGTGCGCACAGTCTCAAAGAGCTGAAAGTACAATGGACTCCATAGTTTACAAAGTACAAAAAATTATTTCATATACAAAGAAAAATACAAATAATGTGCAAAAACTGTTTTCACAGGTGGCAAATTTATAAAATGAATATGATAAAAATTCCTTCATTTTTATTTCCCAATTTCTTATATATTAATACAGTTCTATTTTCTAGTGTGTTGATAATTTTTAATTTGAAAATCTGACTTATTTTTAATCTACAAAGTAGTTTTTATTCTTTAAAAAGGAAACAATCTTTTATTTCTAAAATCTTATGAATCAGTTTAGCTATTTTTCTATTAAATTATAAGCAGGCTATCTGAAAAATCAGCATATAGAAATCATATATACATATTTTGAAATATTAGTTTGGTATTTAACATATTAACATTTCAAAACAAACACATCCATCAAGCCATCAGAGACCCAGCGGCTGCAGCGGCTGCTCAGGCTCACAGAGGTGAACCGCATCCTTGAGTTTTAAGCTAAAGGACAAGGTTATTGTAACTGAGAGAGTGTAAGAGCAGTTCTTACTTCTCAGAGCAGTGCTGGCTGGTTATGTAGCTTTGTCCCGGGTGCGTGCTGGTGAGCAGCTGGCCTCAGTCTCCAACTTGCTCCCATGTTCTGTGGGTCATACATGCTGCTGCTTGTCACTTCACAGAAAGCTGTCAAGGAATAGGAGAGGACACAGGACACAGGCACAGGGTCCTCGGAGACCAGCGGTTTGATGCAGTGTTTTCTGCACTGGCCCAGGCCCACTGTTGCTTTTCCCATCAGAATCCTGTGCACTCCTTCTTAGCCTGTCATTGAGTGGTGATGTCCCCTGCAGTGAAGCTCCATGGCAGGGCAGGGACCATGAAAGCACCTTTTGGCAGCACCAGGGAGGTGAGTATTTCAAAGGTTAAGCATAAAAGTAGGTGTGTCAGATGGAAAACATATGCAGGACATTCTATGACCTTTGGAGGCTTTGGATTTTTGTTGTCAAAAGTTCTGGAAGGAAATTATGACCTTGGAGAACAAAAAGGACCTCTACGAGGACTCAGGCAGTAGCTACCTTGCCTAGGAGATGATGGCAGCTGGTTTCGGAGCTTCCTCTGATCCGCAGCTGGGATGAGGCTGTGAGGGGCCTGGGTGCCTACCAGACCTGTGTGACAAGGCAATTGCTTCAAGAAGAGACAGGGTAAGCAGAACCTCAGTCCTGGGATGACCACCGTCCGCTCCTGTCTGGCAGATGAGCTCCTCTACCTTTTGTGCTTGGCCAGCCATGGGCATCAGGCATCAGAGATGCAGCTCTGGATCCTGTCCATCCATTGCTGGGCACTCTGTCCGTCCTGAGCACAGAAGTTATACACACGCTTGCTGGTCTTGAGCTATAGAACCAAATGACAGAGGAACAGATAAAGCAGGCTTTTTATGGCTTTGTGTGAGTGGCAAACTCGTCCCAACTTGTTAAGACATAACTGCTTGTTCTAACATCATCTGTCACCTTGAGGTAGACTGTGGAGTATTCTAAGGGCCATGCAAAACCAGAAGATATTTAGTCCCCGACTAACTAATCCTTAGGATGAAGCTGGTGCCATCAAGTGGGAGGTCACACTCTGCATCCCTGTACAGGCTATGATGTTGTTCCCTGGCTCTGGGCTTCTGTTATGGCCCCAACTGAAGAAAGGGGCGGCTCAGTTCCCCTCAAGCTTTCTCACCATTCTGCTTTGGTGCTGTGTATGGGAGAGGCCAGAGGCGCCAGCTGGTTCTGAGGCCCTCCCCCACCTTCCTCAAAGGCAACTCCAGGAAAATGTCAGCTTTCCTCATGCTTCACTCTACCTAACTTTCCTCTCCCCGCTCCAGAGAGACTAAGGCAGTGACAGTGCTGTAGTGAGGTTGAGGAGGGACAGAGGCTCTGGGCAGTGGGAAAGGAAAGGCATGGGGTTAGTCTGCCACTCATACAGAGCCGTAACATGCCCGTATCTAGTGACTATCAACTCCTCTGGGACCTGTGATGATGGGAGGTGACGAGAGACGTGCTGCAGAGTAGGAAAGGTGAACTTACATCAAAGAAAGCCTTGTCACTTGTATACTTTGGGGCTCCCATGCTGGGGCCAGCAGGGATAACCATTTCTACTTCAGCCAGATCAATGTGGCCTTTACAGCTTGTGTCTTCCCCCGAATCATAGTATCGCAGCTAGGATCAAAAAGAGACAGATGGGTCACCGAAAGGGGAAATGATTTTCCAAACCATATTTAATCTCTCTTCTATACCTTGCTTTCGGTGCGCACTCCGCATGGAATAATACCCTAGCATTAACAACGCTGGCTGCCTCTTGCATATACCTTTAATCCCAGCACTTGGGAGGCAGAGACAGGCAGCTCTCCGTGGTTTGAGGCCAGCCTGGTCTACAAAGCGAGTTCCAAGACAGCTAGTGCTACACAGAGAAACCCTCTTGAAAAAACAAAAATAATAACAAAACAAAAAACAAAAAAATCCCTAGACACTGATAAACAGCCCACCTGGAAATGAGGCAAGGATCACAATGGCAGGTAACAGGGAAACACTGCGTAGCCACACATGTCCACAGTCTCCCCAGCCTTGCCTGACGAATGAAATGACTGAGTCCCACTCTCAGTCTGAGAAGTACTACAGTGGCCGGTAATGTCCAGCAAGACAGTGAGACTCCCATATGCTGTTACTGGGAACAGAACTTGTTAGAAACAATTTAGTGATGTTGGTGGAAATGAATGTTAGTATCTGCGGAACCGTCTCTCCCACCTCTACTTTCCTGCAGGAACAGGAAATGCTGTGCCCTGCACTGGCGCTGCATCTGTCAGCTCAGCACTGAACACTGGCTCACTAAGTGACGGCATAGCTATGAGACAGTAAAGGACAAGAAAGGCTTTGAAATGAGCAGCAAGCTGGCAGGCAACAGATACGTGGTGTGAAATGGTGCTGAAGGAAATCACAGACAGCTCCTAGCTGCCGGCTCTGGGGCTGTCAGAGCTTTATGAGATGTTTAAATTTGGCACAATAACTGTGTATTACTTTGGAATAAGAAGAAATGAAGTATTTTAAAAGCTAAAGAGCTTGCTAGTGAAAGCCTTCTTGGCCTAGTCTGGCTTCCAGTGTGCACAGCGGGACTGTGATCGGCATCCCTACCTCCAGGCATGGTGTGAGCAGGACTAAATGGAAAAATTATTTATCTTCCATGCTAAAGAAATCCAGAAGATTGGTAAGAATATGAGTATAATTTGATACAATTTTAAAATATAGCAAAATCATAATTTTCTATGTTCTATTTAGTGGTTTAATCAAACTTTTCCTCACAGTAAAGGTTCTACGATTTCAGGGACACTATTATTTTAAAATACAGCTGTAAAAAGGGCTTCTATTTGTATGCTTGAAAATCTCAATATTCTTAAGGGTCAACAAACAAAAACACCAACAAAGCCCTTGAGCCTCTTGCTGTCTTCCTACTGGAGCGCTGACAAGGCACAGACTAGAGTAGAGGTCAGCCAGAGTTGTGACCTCTTTGGGGGTTACATATCAGATACTTAAATTACGATCCGAAACAGTAGCAAAATTAAGGTATGAAGTCGTAATGAAATAATTTTATGGTTGGGCATCATCATAACATGAGGAACTGTATTAAAGGTTGCAGCATTGGGAAGTCTGAGGACCACTGTTTTAGGTCCTTCCTAATGTTCTCTGCATTCTGACCACAGCAAGTCAGCCTGAAATAGAGGCTTCATTTCTCTTGCAAATGAAGGGTGCTTTGGGACAGAAGAGTACCTTGAGATTACAGGGGCAGAGATGTAGAGAGCTGCGTGGAGCCGCACCTAAAAGATGGCACTGGCTTCCGCCATCCGCGATCCCGAAAGCGAGTGCTCTCCTTATTTGGCTAAGGCCAGACCCTAGCGAACATCACCCGCTGACAAGCTGCTTGCGTGAGTGTGGACCAATGAACGGCGCCCACGTGGCTATCCAGGGTTGGTAGCCCAGGCCTACTTAAGGGCTAGGGGAGGTTTGCCCAGGGAGAGATTTCTTCAGAAGATTGTCAAAGGTCCTGAATAAAACTGCCTGTAAGAAGAGCTCCGGTGTCCCGTCATCCTTGCTGGACGAGGTGGTCGTGACACAAAGAGATGGAAGTCTAACCTGTAGCAGCTACGACAATAGCAAAGCATGCCAAAGAGTTCTTAGTGAACGTCTAATCTAGCCTGCTGTGAACCCCAGGTGGTGAACCCAGGTGGCGAAGAAAAGCAGTTCCCAGTACAGTGAGGTGGGCTGTAATAAATGTCAGATAGATTCATCATAACCGGATGTTTTCTGCAGCAAAAATGGACAGCTATACCATGGGAGAGAGGGAGCACACAGCTCATATGTGCACGGAACAGGCTAAAGCTCCCAGAAGCTTCCAGACCTGGGTGTTAAAGAGGAGACGATTATGCATTAAGAGTTCTAGTGCTCTGAGCATGCAGGGCTCTGGGTAGAGGCTGCTTTAAAATTTACTTCCAACAATTACTTCCAGGGCTCAGGGACATTTTGGGCCTTGGAAAAGCCACCATCTACAAAGGTGAGGAACACATACGTAGGTCTTGAGGTGAGCCTAGACAGTAGTTTTTTGGGTCTTACCTGATGTTTTGTTACATCTAAAACAAACCAACGGGGTTTCCAACCCTTCAGCAATGCTCCTCTTTTGTACAGTGTTCCTTCAAAGGATCTAGAAGGCAACAAGACAGTTTCTTCTGACTTCATTACACACTACCTTTTGTCTATCAAGTTTCTGTCTCCCTAATGAAAGCTCTCCCTGGAGTTTTATCCCTAGCCCTTTGGGGGAAAGACTGACTCCTTCTGCTGGGACCACCACACTCCCCTGGTTAGGAATTCATGGTTTCCATGCTTTCTGCTATGCGAGGAATGCTGTAACACCAAGGGAAAACTGAGCTGGAAAGAGAAGTCTGACAATGCTGTGTGAGGCACTTCTAGCACGTCCTTGGCATCCCTAGTTTACATGACTAAATTCCTTTTCTTTGAGCCAGGATAAGTGGGATTTCTGATGGTGCCACTGAAAAAGTATTGCCTGACATGCATTCTCTCAAAGACTGATCCCCACCCCCAGAACATCTAAACAAGGCATTTTAAGAAAAACCTAAACCCCACAGAATGAAAGCAAATCCAAGTCTGTCAAGGCTGTTTGCACAGGGCTGGCTCGGGCTAACAGTCAGGACCCAGCAGTATCACCTGTTCTCATCATTCTTGGATGTGTACTGGCTGTAAAGCGTGGCTGCCCTGTGCTCTACACCATTGGATGGGGCGATGGTGGCATTTTGATCCTCGCCAGTGCTGCGGTCCAGGGGGTGCAGCACAGGCCTCTTCTGATAGGAAGGCACGTTGGTAGACATGAGTCCTGGGGACCCCAGTGAGTGTCTTTGGGACTGAAAAAGACAAAACATGAGCTAGGAAAGTTTCCCCACGGCTTAGAGATTGGCCTGATAATTTCATTTATACAAATGTATCTCAGGGTAACAACTGACTAGTGAGCTAACACATGTTGAACATTCATCTGTTTCTGTTTTTAAATGAGAAGTAGAAATAACCTAATACCCATTATTTGGGGAACTGGTAAAAAAACAAAAACAAACAAACAACTATTATTTCTTTACAATGGAGTTCTAGACAGCAACCAAAATGACACATATGAATGGCATGTATGTCAACAAGAAGGCAGGTTGTAAATATCACATCCAGTAAATCTTGTATTTCTACGTTTATACACTGTGGGTCATTTTCATCTCTTGGTAATGTTCTGTGTATTGTTATTTTTAAAATATACATCCTACTTTCATAATTAAAAAAAATCTAGAAACAATTTTAATTTTCTGGGGTAAAAGGCCCCAGGTGGCAACAGCTCCTGAAGAGTCATGTGAAGGTAAGGTGGAGTCCAGAGGCTCTTTTATCAAGGGCCTTCTCAGACCACTTGCCTTGTCTCTTCTCCCTGAAATGCTCTTCAGAACACCATGTGTCCTCGCTTCCCTGTGCTGGGCTGGGAGTCAGTCTGCTGTGGATATGAGTGGTGGCCCTGCCAGTTAGTAGCTGTGAGACTTCTCTGCATTCCCCCTTGTGCATGAGGTACAAAACTTGCTCACTGTGGAATGCATAGGGCTTAGTCCCTTGGATGTATCATGTGCTTGATAAATGTTTCTAATCTCAGAAATAGGAAATGGGGTATGAGCTACAGGAAGGAAACAGAAAAGGAAGTTTGGGCAATAGAAAGTAGCATATGTTGTCTGTCATCTTACAGTATTTCTCTTTGCTAGTTTCTCTGGAGCAAACATGGGCCTGGCATTCCCTGTCCCTTGTGGTAGGTCAGAAGAGACCACAATGGCACCGAGATAGAGAGAACCCAGTAATTTCCTCTGGATTCAATGCCTGAAACATGTGCATTATGTCACTGTGGAGAGTGAGACATTCAGGAAGCATTCGGTCATCTGGACCATTCTGCCTTGAAGCTCTAGGGCATGACCCCTCTCTACCACTTTCTCTGGGTTATGAGCTGTGGGCTCCATCTGACCTAGCACCCTCCAAAGCTCAGGGGGCGTTGCCAACTCACATGATCTGTTCTTGGCTCTTCCTTAAGGTCCATGGTTACTTTTTCCCATAGCTGGTGCCATTTCTCAGGAGTTTGGTTCAATTTATGCTCCAATTTTTCAATTTCCTGTAAAGAAATGAAAAGGACATTTTGACAGGCGAATATTTTATGGAGGGCCAGGATGTGCCTGGAGATGCAGGTTTCCCCTGTGCTGGGCCCAGATGAACAACATTGCTGGAGGATAGCTGGATTTGATGATTTATTAGGACTCAGAAGGTTTTTTTTGAACAGATTGATTTAAATAACAAGACACGGTGTGTGTGTGTCTCAAACACCTTCTTCACTCTTGGACAGCCTGTCGGAAATCTGATGACCAAAGCTACTGGCCAACTGTGGGCCTATGTCCCAACCCTAATGGCTGCAGCAGTTAAGTCTTTCTTGACAGAGTAGCCCTCGACTTTGGTGACTCAAACCAGATGTGCAAAGAATAACCCAAGAGATGCTAATGAAAATGACTTCCCTCTGACAGGGGCTCAGGGCAGCCACCACTGCAGCTTATCCTTCCTGGCTTGAAAACAGAGACCCAAGTCAGAACAGCACTGTCCTGGGAGTCCACTGTCAGGATGGCTTCACTCCAGAACATGCCTTGCAGAAGGTGTCCCATCAGGCCATCAGCTACCCATACTTCTAACAAAGGGAAGTAAAGCACCCTCAAAAGCCACTGCCAGACCTAATTCCAACAGCCTAGGCAGCTAACGCTGGAAGGGAAATGCTCTTTTCTCACTTGCTTCCTTTTGCACTGCAAAGTCACTTTTGTGGGTAACTTTGCCAATAGTTAGTGTGGTGTCCACTGCTGCACAGAATCAAGGCTGGATTCTTCAGATTCAGAGTATTAACTATGACACAGCCCAGAGTAAGGGAGCCATTACAGATGTAAATATGCAAGCCAGTCTAAGCTGTCCTCTGGGGCCGAGTGCCTGTAGATGTGTCTACATATTTCTGACTTACACTGAAAAGTCTGGTGAGGGCATCTGGCTGGCTGCAGCTGATGTCATCATAGCATGGCCACACTGTTCTCCTTTGACTCTGGGGCCCAGCTCCTCCAGCCATATCCAACTCTTCGGGAGGAAAATGCTTGGGGGTCAGCATCATCCAGTCGTATGAAGGACCTGCAGACAGAGTCTCCTCTGTGTAGTAATCCCACTTCTTGAGGCTGGAGACACTTACATTAGGCTTCAGGGCCTGTTTAAAGAGAATTCTGAAATGTAATTTTATCTTGACCCTGAAGTACTTGATACATACATTTGCAGAGTGCAGGGCAAGTATATAAATTCACCTAAATACTGCAGGGCAAGTATATAAATTCACCTAAATACTTAAAACTTATACATGAAGAGAGCATTAAATAAAACATATTTATCCTCCTTCCCCAACAAATGTAACCCCCTAATGATTTGGAAGGCCAGGTTCAAATAAAGGGTTCTTGGCTTCTTCATAATTCTATACTAGGAAGTAGTAGCACACAGAGAGAGATATATTCCCAGTTTACAGACCTTGGTTTAACCTCCTTCTCCTCCCACCTTGACCTTGCATGAACATTTGTGTATATCCTAGGCCACTAAGCCACACTCCTCTCCGTCCTTGTGAGGCAGCTACTTGATTTCTCTGGGTCTTGGGACTCATGCACTGACATGGCAGGCTGACTTGGTCAAGTAACCTGGTGAGTGATCTGGATTCAGACCAGGGATGTGGAGTACCCAGAGCAAAGATTGGATGAGGAGGGGCTACCTAAAAATGAGCATTTTGTTTCTTGGTGAAGGTCCCACCAGAGAAAGGTCAAATAGAGTTCTAAATGCATGGCCTAGGGCAGGAACCAATCCTGCCCAGCCTTCAAGTATCTGATTTATGTATGGCACTGAACAGTTCCCATCTAGTAATTCTGCTGATGTTTTTGAGACAGTCTTGCTATGCAATCCTGGCTGGCTTCAAACCTGTGATCTTCCTGTGTCTATCACTTAAGTGACAGGATTAGAGTTATATGCTACCACACTGAGTTCCAGAAATTATTTAGAAGATGAAATTATGGGTTGGAGAGAGGGTTTAGTTATTAAGAATATTTAATGTTCTTACAGAAGATCTGAGTTCCCAGCATCAGCTTCATGTGGTTAAACCTGCCTGTTGCATGCCTAGGTCATGCAGATACATATGACCAAGCCTTGCTGCCCTGAGATATGCCATCCTCTGGGCTGGGTTCTAAATGTCAGTGCCTCCCTTAAGGCTCTGTCTCAGGTTTACTATATACTAAAGCATTTAAGATTCTTCAGTTGTGGCATGGCTGGCGGCACACCTTTAATCCTACACAGGCAAAGTTGCTTTGCTTTGATTGTGTTGACATTATCCCTTCTAAGTTTTGGGGAACAGCCCTAGTATTTGCATCAAGTATTTAGTAAACAGTCTCCACTTCCATTACAACCCAAATCTATGCTGTCTCAAACTTTTAAATACCTTTGGTATGAAACCCCATCAAATGTTTACACATAATAAAGTGAAGAGAAACTTTTATATACAACATTCAGAAAAAAAGATACAAATGATTTAACTCTACCTCTATTTCCACTGGTGAGTATAAGTAATTGAAGAAAACGGGACTCCGCTTGTGCATTTTGTCAATACACTCCCAAATACAAACTCCTTTCTTGGCATGTTTGTCACCTTTATCATCAAATAAAGTTCCTGTAATTAAAAAAAATCCATCAAAAAATGGAAAGAAATTGAAGTTTTGCCTAAAAGTATGAAACATATAGAAGAGAATATATATCTTATGTTTCTGAAAGCAGCAACAAATGTGCAGAAATCTTAAAAGCTAACTGCCAACAAAACCAGGGACAAGCGTGTCAAGTCTGTAGGAAATGTGGGACAGGGTCTTGGCAGAGCTGTCCCACTCACGTCCTGCTTCTGAACGCACTACCACAAAGGAGACAGGCTACACAGAAAATGGACCTAGTTAACTCCTACAGCTTAGCTGAAGATTTAATTTTCTGTTTCTTTAATAAACTTGTTTATTATGAAGCAATTGAAAACATATTCTTGGGTAACATTTACTTCCACAAATGACAGTCACAGAGACTCAGAAAGACAGAGGGCGTGTTCTGTCTCCTTAACTGATAATATGAACTTAAATTCTGATATTCCCCCATCCTCCAGGGTTTCACTGTGTAGTGCTGGTTGTCCTGGAACTAGGTATGTAGACCAGCCTGGACTCGAACTCAGATCTGCTTGCCTCTGTCTCCTGAGTGCATGGTAATGTCACCATGCCTGGCTGCATATTCTGTGTTCTTAATGGGGGATATAAATACGCTAGGGTGAGGCAGTGCTACTTCACTTTGTATGAGGTGATCCTGTTAAAAGCTAACTTTTTACCACAAGAGACCACCTCAGGCCCAAGGTTGTACAAAATTATGTAACCTGTGGGCCCCAAGACTGACTGTTTCTTTTCTACCTTGTTCTTCCTTCCTTCTCTCCTAACTGCAGGGTCCTGACACAGCATCACCAAGCAAGCTCTGTGATAGACTTTAGACAGGACAATGGGAGAGGGTACACGGTAGCCCTGTTTCTCAGGACACACTCCTCTACCCTGTTGCTACCCATGGACTGGAACTATGGACAATAGGCTTTTCTTACACTATCCAAATGACTATTTCAGAGTAACATGTACATACACAGGGAACAATTTAAATATAAACAAACATTTAAAAAATATTTGAACCATCAGACACTATCATCAAGTCCTATTATGGTCCAATTCCAAAACAGTAATATACTCTTTCAAGACAGTGGAGAATTTCTGATGAAGCCTTGACAGTTGTGACTGAGGTTCATCAGCAGTGGCTGGTAGAGGAGAGTTCCCACAGCTGCTGGTAACTAGGACTTCACAGAGTAGGCCTCATAATTGGTGAGTCTGCCCAGCAGGGACAGATTCCAATTAGGCAATCCAGACTACACTGGCATATAAATTAAACCAGGTTAGATGGTGGGTCCAGAGAGGGGTCTGGAGAGGTCCTTTGGTTCTGACATTCTAGGTGGTTTATGAAAAATGTGTAAGACACAGGATGAAACAATTTTATTTTCACTCTGTCAACAGGTTTAGTAAAACATTCTCTTATCCAATTCCTTTAATCGTTCTGTTTAATCTCTTTTAGAACATAGATGGGACAGAAAGCCTTGGTCAGTTCTCAGATGAGGGACCTGCGGCTGAGGGACGAAACTGTTCACCCATTGTCATATTTTCTGACCCCTGCTGGAGCAGTGGAGCACTCAACCTTGGCAACATGGTAGAATCACTTGGAGCTTTCAAAAGCTCTGGCTGCCTGGTCCCACCCTCAGGTTCTGACTAAACTGGCTGGAGGTGCTGCCTGGATGTCCCCAGATGATTCTAGTCAAGTCTGAGAAATGCCACACCAGATTCTAATGTTTCTCTAACTAGAGTCATCATCTGGGAGCAGGGACCTTGGGTTCTGGCCTGGGCTTTGGCCATATCACATGGAGTAAAGGTAATTTGCTGAGCAGTTCTGTATCTCTCTGACAGCCATATATGCATATAATGTGCCCTTTAGTGATAACAGTGACCCTGTCATAGGCAGCTGTCACTAGCTCTGATTACCTTCTCTCCACATGCTGCTTAGGACACTATTTCTGACTGTGATATGAGGTACACACACACACACACACACACACACACACACACACACACACACGTCTGAAGAACAAACAGGATGGGAGTGGTCTGGCCAGTGTTCTTTCCTTCACCCAAAGTGAAATATCCATCATAGCTGACAATTTCAAGAACATGCCCTGAAACTAGTACTTCCTGACTGTAGATTTTAAACTGAGATCACTGGTAAAGCTTTAGTTGTGAAGGGTTCTCTTTCTAAATACTCTGTGACATATGAAGTACTGAGAATATCAACTCTGTTTTACTTTAATTCCCCACCTTCTGAGTGCTATATGACAGGCATATTGCACCATGCTTGGTTTATGTGATGCAGGTGATAATCATACCCAGGGCTCTATGCATACTAGGCAAGTACTCTTCCAACCAAGCCACCTGGAACAAGGGCTGACTTTTTTTGACTTGTCCTAACAAAAATTTGTCAGACATTTCCCATTTTCCTAACAACTCCTGGGAAATATTTTCATAGTTTCTCAGAACCTATTTTTTTTAAATAAATGTTATAGCTTTTAGAAATTGTAATAACGATACTGATATCTAGAATTCCTCAAGGGATTATTTTATGCTAACAACTGTGCTGAGAAACTGACCACTGCTTCCTCCTGTGGTCACTATGATCCTATTGTACCCTATCACTGTCCCCACATTACAGTTGAGAAGGCTGAGGCTCAGAGATGGTCCTAGTACAGCTGGTAAGCGGTGGTGCTAGAATTTAACTTTGGTATGTTTGGTTTGGAGCCTTCTTCACGGGCTGGTCACCAAACTGTCACCATGTGGTGCAGGAAATTGTCTGTATTCTTTCAATCATATTTTAAATAAATGCTGATTGGCCATGCAGGAAGTATAGGTGGGTCAACCACACAGGAGGTAGAGGCGGGGCAATGAGAACAGGAGAATTCTAGGAAGGAGAAAGCCCATTCCTCCCAGTCCAGCCTAGACCACCGAAGAAGCAGGATGTGAGCTACCCTGCTGAGAAAGGTACCGAGCCATGTGACTAACATAGATAAGAACAATAGTTAATATAAGCTACAAGAGCTAATAAGAAGTCAGAGCTAATGGGCCAATCAGTTTTATAACTTATGGAGATCTCTGTGTGATTTTCTTTGGGCTTGCTGGCTGTGGGGTACGGGGTGGAACAGAAACTTCAACAAGTAGGCCCTCATGTTACAACCATGGACAGGTTCCTTTCTATCAGAGTGGACATGAATGGAAATACTATGAATTAAACATGTCTCCTACACAGTGGTAGTGATTGAAGGTGCCAAACAGTGAGCATTTTTAGCTTTACAAAGGCAAGACACGATCGAGCACTTGCTGTAACTAATGGCTGAGAGAGAACAGACTGCCCTAGGAGTGTTACTCAGATCACTCCACACTCAAATCTTATTTGGAATCACTTACATCACTCAAGTTTCCACTGAAAGCATGCAAAACTAACAACAACAAGATAGAACAGAGGCATAGAAATACATACCATGCTCTAATCTTTCATAGTCTGAATCCAGAAGAAATGTTTTAAAGCGATTAGACACATAATGGAAAGCCAAGAACTTTAGGTAATAGAGATTGAATTCAAACTCAGTTGGATACTGGATGTGAACCTGAAACACACAAACCAAGAGTAAGAGTCAAACAGAAAAGTAAAAGTCACGTTATAGAATGCTTAGCTGAAATATGATGGAGACCTCTGGCCATTCATCTGACAAATGCTTAAATCTCCATTAATCCCACTGGTGGGGAAGATCACTACCACAATTTAAAGCCAAATATTTAAAAAAAAAACGGTTTATTTATTATGTATACAATACCTCCCCAACAAACCTCTTGCATTAACACTGCTGCTCATGGCATACCTTCGCAGGGCCCACTGAAAGGTACCCACTTTGCCTTTTGTTATCCTTTCAACCAACACTTGGGAAGTAGAGGCAGGAGGACCATGAGTTCAATGTCAGCCTTGTTTACAGATCACACAATCTAGAAAAAGAAAGATCCCTTCATATGCTAAAGGAACGGGGAGGAATGTGCCTTGTAACATTTTTTTTTTCTTGGTGTTTTGACACAGGAACTTAACACTGCAGCTCAATCTGGTCTGGAATTCATTAGGTAGTGTGGGGGTTGGGGAGCTGGGCCTGAACCTGCTGGGCTCTTCCTGTTTTAGCTTCCAAGATGCTGAACTACTAGACCCAATTTTCACCTTATTTTTATCAGCTCATCAGCAGGGTCCTGGACAAAGGAATATGGATGACTGGGAAGGGGAATCATTGTTTCACTGTTTTCAGCCTATCTTACTTAGACAAGCTGTCTGCAGCCTCTGTGGAGCCAGCTCATACTGACAGAAAGTAGGCTTGTGCCCCAGTATACCAGGCAGTCCCACTCATGCTGCTCAATGCCTCCTCCCCTAGGCAGGCTTTCTCTGTGTAGCCCTGGCTGTCCTAGAACTCTCTCTATAAAAATGCTAGCCTTGGACTCAAGAGATCTACTTGCCTCTGCCTCTCGAGTGCTGGAATTAAAGGCCTGGGCAGTGCTTCTCAGTCTCAAAAGCAGCAATAGGATCTTGCCAGATCAAGATAAGTTTCAATCATAACTGTATTTGCTAAAAGCTGTTTCATTTTTCTTTAGTTTTTCAAGACAGGGTTTCTCTGTAGCTTTGGAGCTTGTCCTGGAACTAGCTCTTGTAGACCAGGATGGCCTCGAATTCACAAAGATCCTCCTACCTCTCTGCTGAGATTAAAGATGTGTGCCACCACCGCCCGACTGCTAAAAGCTGTTTCTAATGAGTATTACAGGCAGCCTGTCTAAAGGTCAGCATTTGGGGCTGAAGAGATGGCACAACTGGGTTCAGATCCCTAACACCCACATAAAAAGCTGGGTATGGTAATACGTGCTACAAGCCCAGTGCTGGATATGGATAAGACATGGGATTCCTGTTGACACTGGCTGTTACAAATCTTAGTGTATGGCGGGGAAGAGTTCAGTTCACATGGATGGAGGTGACATGGGAGTCCACGAGGCTATAAGGAGGCTCTGAGCTGTGTTGTACTGGCTGTCAGAAATGACTTGTAACGGCCAGTGTCGACAGGATCTTCTCCTAGGTACCACAAGGCAGGCTCTTGGGACAAGGGAAAGAAATAAAAGCTTGCTACAACTCTATTGTCAAGTAAGAGGAACTGTGCATGTCCTGGTTATTATGTTCCATGAACCTCTTGCTTGACACCTGCAGTAGTGATGTGTGTCCTACATGTGAAGCCAGGTACAGAGGCGAGGCTGTGGTCTGGTCTCCTGTCAAATCCTTTGTCTCTGCTACAACAAGTAGGTGACTTTGAAAGGCTGGGCTTTGCCCACCCTGTCCTACTTTAGTGCGACGCAAGGCACACTTCTAATGCCTGTCCTCATTGCTTTAGAGTAGTTAGCTTTGAGGACAGAGAAAAATCATAGCTAAAATGGAAACTCCTCTACCCTCTAGAAGATTCTACCTTAAGCACATGTAGCTTTTTGTGCTGTGAAGTCAATTGTGTGATACTTTTCTGTTGATGAAATAGTCAAAGACAATCTGCAGAAAGTTTTTTGTTTCTGCACAATAAGGGCACTATGCAGAAAAAAAAAAAAAGACATGGGATTCCCTAGGGTTAAGTAGCTAGCAAGCCTAGACAAATTGGTACTTCCAGGTTTGGTGAGATCCTGTCTAAAGTGTCTAACAAATAAGGTAGAGGAGCTATTGGGAATGATACTGTGATGTCACTCTCTGTCCTCCACACGCACCTGCATGTGCAAGCACACCTGGATACACTCATGCATTCATAAGCATACCACAATAAATACCCACAAGTAAGTGTAGCTTTACTCATCAAACTACTTTTTGCAACAGACAAAGACTATTAACAGAGACTAAGTGACTATTGGGTGTCTAACCTCCAATGACACTTCTTCAAGGCAACTTCTACACCTCAGACTCAGAGACACTGGAAGAAAAGAGTGGTATGGAGATTATAAGAGCCAGAGACCTAGGAAACCTGATGTTAGATAGTGTCCTCTACACATGACAGAGAAATTGAACCCATGAACTCTCAATATGGGTGTCTGAATAAGACCAGCATGACAACACCAGCTGACAAGCCCCTGCTGACAGGAAATTCCACACAGTTCAACACCTAGATGAAGAACTACAGGTGGATAATGGCTGTTAAGGAAGGAGAGTCCATTTCTTCCAGGGATGAGGATGAATTCCTACTTAGGTTGTCCAATCCCAAGGGGTCAGCCCTGGATATGTGTACACATAAAAACAAAGCTAAACAAACACAATAAGTGCTTTCTCTCTCTCTCTTTACAAACACAAACACACACACACACACACACACACACACACACACACGTAACAATAATTGAAGAGATCATGAATTTGGGAGGGGAGACAAGAGAGGAATTGGAGGGGTGGGAGTGATGTAGATGCACTATTTATGTATGAAGCTACCAAAAACACCCCACCCATTAAAAATAGAATTTTAAAAAGTTTGCCATCTGGTTAGACCCCTAGATTTCTGTGATAAGTTCTCTCTACTGTCTTCTTTCTCTCTCACACATACAATATTTTCTTATTGTCTTTTTGATTGCATTAAAAGTTTCTGAAGCATACATAGTAGACCTGTAACTGTGGTGCCTCCTCCTTGACATATTCTGAATAACGGGGAATGTGACTCCTTTTGTAACTGTAAGCATCTGTTGTTAAGTATGAGTTTTCTCATTTGTAAAGTGTAGCATGAACGGGGCCAGGCCTGCTTGTTTCTGTTTCTGTCCCGCCTGGTACCCCACAACTATTTAGCCCCAAAGAAAATCACACATAGGTTTCTATAAATTATAAGCTGATTGGCCCATTAGTTCTAGCCTCTCACTGGCTAATTCTCACATCTTAACTAACCCATTTTTCTGATCTATGTTAGCTATGTGGCTCAGTACCTTTTTCAGTGAGGCAGATCACATCCTGCTGCTTCAGTGGTCTGGGCAGGAGTGGGAGGAATCAACTTCCTCCTTCCCAGAATTCTCCTGTTCTCATTACATCATTTCTACTTCCTGTCTGGTTTTCCTGCCTATACTTTCTGCCTGGCCAATCAGCGTTTATTTAAAACATGATTAATAGATTACAGACAGTTCTCCAGCACCAGTAAAGATAAAGGACTAGACTCTATGAGTTTCCTGTGACTACAGTATAAAGAACAACTAATTAGAAAGACTAGGACTAGTTGGAGAGTTTATAGTTATAATTAAATAAAACTCAGACTGACATTATTTTAGAGCATTATCACTGGACATAAAAATAAGTTTCTCTGGCCTGTTGTGGTAGTGCCTTTAATCCCAGCACTTAGGAGATAGAGGCAGAATGATCTCTTGGGAGTTCCAGAATAGCAAGTAAGACCTTGTCTTAAGAAAAAGAATCCATTTCTGTAATGGAAAATAAATTATAAAAACACTTCCCTCTCTTGCTTTGTTAGACGTTTGCCAACTATATTTTAATACAGCAATTTTCATTCAAATGAGAATTTCTGCATTTTTGGGGGGCAGGGGAGATTTAAGGAGACAGGGTCTCGTTTTGCAACTCTGACTGACCTAGTCACCATGGAAAGCAGGATGGCCTCAAATTCAGAGATCCATCTGTCTCTGGTTCTCAAGTGCAGGATTAAAGGTGTGTGCAACCATGCTTGGCTTTTTTTTTTTTCTCTTCTGGTGGTGCTGGGGACTGAATCCAGGGCCTGCACATAGTAAGCAAGTTCTGAGCCGCTGAGCAACACCCACACCCAGTCTTCCTGGTCCCTTCTCAAGCAACGTTCAGACTTCTGGTTTCCTCCCTGTCCTGTCCTTTGATGTCATGTCGTTTGGCTCAGAACCAGGGCACACACTGAGAGCTGGTGACTTATAGAGTAGGTCAGCTAGACAGTGAAGGGGACAAGTGCATGAGGATGAAACCTGGCTCTTTATCATCTGAGCCTTAGGGAGGAAGAAACTGCAGTGTAAATCAGATGGGGTAGGCTATAAGGAGTAATCACAAGCTAGACCAGCCCAGGCTCATCATTTCCAGAGGAAGAAAGGTTCGGGCTTCTACCAGGGATCCGGCCCACAAAAACGTTTGAAGGCTACTTTAATGCTACTCTTAATGACTATTTTCTTCAGAACCCTCCTGTTTCACAAGTGTGTGAAGTTTTTCCTAAATATTCTGATATTTAATATGCTTAGGAGAAGAATTTTGAAAACTTCCTAAGAAACCACTACGAATGAAGGTGTGGGTAGTAGAGCTTCCTAAGGAGAAAATGTGCCCATTTCGCTTATTTACACAAATAAGATCTGTCTGCTTTACATCACTAAGCACAATTATCTGTGAATGATCCATGCTGCTTAATTATCCGTTCATGCTTCTTTTATTACAGATGGTATTCCACTGTATTGATCACCACACCTACTCCCCTGTGGGTAGAGGGAGCTTTTCCATCCCTTGGCTACGGCACACAGAGTTGTTATAAAGAGGTATGCTGCGAGTGGTGATGTTCATTTCTTTTTTTTTTAAATATTTATTTATTATTTATTATGCATATCATATTGTGTCTGTGTGTATTCC